TTTATATGCATCATATTTTTTTAAGAAAACACACAGAGGGGCCGATGCCTCTGCAGGGGTTTGACCTGTGAGTCACTAAGAACTTTGTTACCTGCGCAGACACGAAAGGTCAAACACTGTTTGCCACCTATGGATTCACAAAGGGTTGCTTTCCCTGCTTTCCCTGTTATTTATTTCCTCCTCTTCTGTAGAAGCAATTGTTAAGGTTTTTATTAGTCAGTGTTGGAGGCTTGCCTCCACCCTCACCAGGTTAGCAGCGGGAAACCACACTGACGTGAACTAAGGTGACAACAGCAGCATAATATGAGAAACTCAGAAAACTGGTGGAAAGATGAAAAATTGGGGCAGGATATTATGTCAAACTTAATATAAAGGTTATCAGTTCCAAATTGTTTTGTGAATTATCAGAATAAGTTGCTTTTGCTCTTTAAGCAAAACCATAGATTTTATCTGTACTAGATTGATATCAGATTTTCGGGGTGCATCTTATAACCTGTTTGGTTTTTCTTTTCTTCTTTTAATTTTATTTTTTACTGAGTAAACATAGTCATATCTGATTGTCAGTTAATCAAATGAGATTCTTTAGTTATACACATTTACAGGGAAAATTATGGAGTCACTATTTTTAGTCATTTAAATTAATGAGTTTTCCAGATCAAGTAGAGGAAAAAATTGTTGAAACACTTGAAGCGGAGGAAAATCTCATGCAATCGCTTTCTGAAGAAATGTAAAGCTGTAGTTAAATGAGTGTTTGCAGACCTGAGCAAGCTATTACACGTGGCTAATTGAAACAAGTCATGGCACCAGCAAGAGAGTCGTTTCGTCAAACAGTAGAAAGATTTATCCAAATCTTTAAGAAGGAAATTCAATACAGAACATGCAAACAAAGTGAGGGCGTCAGGACAGAAAAGAGGAAGCCAAATGAAAACCAGCACGTACAATAAACAGAAGAAAAGAAGGCTACAGAGGGCTAAAGAGCAGCAATTGTAGGCTGTGAATAATGGAAAGGAAGTGATGTTCAGTGATGAATCACCAATCTGCCGTGGATATGCAGCTGGAATGTTTGCTGTTCCTGTGGTGTTCCAGTGAAATGACCACCTAAAGGAAAAATAAAAATAACCCCAATCAACTGTTCCCAGTGGCCATCAGAACTGTGGTTATGTTTTTGGCAGGATTTAGGTGCGTGTCATTCTTTCTGAAGCAATCATTGTTGTAAAGTCTAGTGTTTTGTAGGCAAGTGGATGCTAATTTCAAACTATTAGTTATTACTGCAGTGTTAAAAATGGTGGGGAGGATTGTGTGCTTCTTTTCGTACTTACTCTTTTTGGCACACACCCTGTGGATCTCAGTATTGTGTCATGAATTAGTCACTTACAGTTCCTGCTCTCAATTTTATCAGAGCTCTTAGCTTTCACGACCTCTCTTCTACTTGTCTTCCCCAATTTTTGTCCCCGCCCCCCCCCTCACACTGCCTCACATCCACTGCCACCCGTGTGCTCATTAAATTTAACCCCGATATGTCAAGTTGCCATGTCACCATGTCTCCTAGGCCTGCGTTCTTTTGTCCTTCAGTGAATGATGCGATGGTGTTTAACAACAGCATCCCAATTAATGACTGAAATTAAAACCAGAGATGGGTATCTGTTAAAAATCGCCAGACTGGATTGTTTGTTTTAAAGCAGCTATTATTATTATTATTATTATTATTATTATTATTATTATTAATTATTATTATTTTTTTTAATTATTATTATTATTACAATTGTAATGTTATGGATGTAGAATGAAAGTAAGGGCTGTGACGGTAAAATGAAGGGATGGGCTGATGTTAAGGTAAGTAATGAAAATACTTCCGAGAGGCAAGACACGTAGATGAATAAGGCCACACATTTCATATCAGATCAACCCCCCGGGAATTTCTCAGTGTGAAGATTGCAATCAGTTGGTGGGACGAGAAGATAATCATCCATGATAGGCAGGTGCAAAAATATTCTTGCTGACCGGAATTTAAATTAGATCTACGGTTTGGCATAAAAGTTGCATCTCCTTGTCTATTAAATCATTTTGCAGGTCTGGTGCCCAAAGTGAACATCATCAATCCTTGGTAACAGGAGGGGGAGTTTTCACCCTGATGACTATGGAAATGTTTGACCATGTCTGTGATATAAAGCAGTTACAGTGGGGGAAAACAATTATCTCATCCACTGCTGAATTTGTAAGTTTTCTCACTTCCAAAGCAATAAACAGACTCTAATTTTTACGATAGTTTCATTTTAATCGAAAGGTCACTGCCTTCTTTAGACACTCCTTTGTTACCTTGGCTGTATGTTTTGGGTCACTGTGATGCTGGAAGGCGCATCCACAAGCCAATCGTCAGTGTTCTCGTCCAAGACGCGTTGAAGTCATCCTGTACCCTTAGCAGGGAAAAACAGCCCCGAAGCATAATGTTCCCACCTCCGTGCTCGACCGTGCTGATGATGTTCTTCGGGTCATGCTCAGCATTTTTCTTCCTACAAACACAGCGACTTGAGTTATGGGAACGATGCGAGTGCTGAGAGATTTCAATTCTTTCTTGGGTTTCTGAGTAACCACACCAACAGTTGTCACCTTCTCACCCAGCTTGATGTTCTTGTAGCTCACTCCAGCCTTGTACAGTCTCGTCCCTGATGTCCTTTGACAGCTCTTTGATCTTGCCAATAGTAGTGGAGAGGTTGATGGAAGACATTGAATCTGTAGACATGGTGCAGCATGGGATGAAATAATTATTTCCTCATGTGTAGTTGGGGTAAGAACAACACGTTTCTTAGTGGTTTGATGCTCTAACATTAATTGCTGGGCATAAAATAAACGTGACAAACCTTTTAGGTCATTAAAGTTGAGGATTTTCATTCTTTAGCTTTACAAGTTTAAAAAAATGTTCATTTTAAACTCAAGATTTAAGCTCTGAATGATCAGGCATCAGTAGTTTTACTAAAATATATTTTTGGACTCATTATTCAGCTAAACCACTTGTTGGAGAATTGTTGTATTTTGGGCATCACTGATCTAAAGATTCTTTACTTTTTGAACTTCTTATCTCTGTAACAAGAAAAAGTACACTCAAAGGCATCGAAGCGTCAGTTCATTGAGGAGTTCCTGTGTTTGTTTTTATTTTGCTTTATGTCTTGGATCCAATTTTTTTTCTTTTGTTCTGTTTTCTTTTAATGTCTTTTTTGTCTTTTTTAATGTCTTTTCCTGTTTTTTCACTCAGCAGTGACCTAATTCTCCCCTCACAACATCTTGATGTAACTGTCCCTGCTGGCTCTTTCTTTCCTTTTTTGTCATTATATTTATATAATTAGATTTACACAGCATGTGGGCTGTGTAAATCTAATGCAGATTCATGTGTATGGCTTTTTTCTTCATTTTTCTTTTTAAATGGATGCGCTTTTTGTTCCAGCGTTAATATGAAAACACATTCACCACCACAGATTGTTTTCATACGCAGCTTTGTAACGTCACCACATACTTTTCTTTTCTGAGCACATAACGTACACGTACAGTTTTCTCATTTAAAAAATTGCAGGAGATATTTATAGTCGTGCACAGCAGGGCCACTGCACAGATGCTCTGTTTGACAGCAGACGTTTGAGCCAAGCGGAGTTAAATTATGTGTTTGTGTTTCGGTCTGCGGGTCTTTCAGTCATCTTGCTGCATAATTCATGCCTGTTCCCAAATTGAAATTCCATGTTAATCCAATAGGAAGACGATGAAAGGAAAAGGTAATCTATTTGAAAAGGAACCACTGTGATTTTACTTATTCATGTAAATAACACATATATTTATTCGTTTTAATAGAACATAGTAAACACAGCCACGGTTTCAAATTCAAGGTCGGGGTATATTAAAGTCCGGGTGAGCCCAAAGAGTTTTTCACTCTTGGATCTGTGTGATGTCGAAGAGAGTGGATTTCCCCTATCTGGTCATCTTATGCATGAAGCTCCGGATGAGGGGCAGATAATCAGCAGAAGCTACCTTAAGAGGAAAGAAACTCAAACAGCTTATTTCAGACAGAAGATGAAAAAGAAACCACCCAAATTAAGATAAATATTTGATTTTTTTTTTTAATAATCTGCAGATCTACTCTTCTCATGTATAAGAACGAAACTATGAAGCTAAGCAAGAGTCTGAAAGTGTTTAAACTACATATTTACTGTATAAAATGTGAATCTTTAAATCAACTATAAAAAGCTGGGTTTTCCCAATCGTTTGGTTTTATTTTACGTTAGAATAGAATTTAATGTGAAACCGAGAACTGCTCGTTTGTTGACTTACAGGCTAACTGCTCGTGGCTTTCCTAAAAATTCCCTTCAAACATGAGAGCGGCTTGAATTTAATGAAAGCAATTTTCAGCTTAGGGGAAGCATCGCTGCCGTTTCGACACGCTACAGTGTCGTTGCCACATGGTGGTCTGATCTATCTGATCGGGGAGACGAAGAAAAATGCACACAGAAAGAGAGGGTACTGACCTGATAATTGAGAAACTAGCATATCTGATGGTGTGACAGTGAACAGGGATCCAGGCCTGTATTAAGCTGTCATCCAGCTTTGTTCTCCTTGCTTCTAGGCTGCTGTCACTCTTCGCTCTCTGTTGGGAGTAACACGATCTACACTCTTGACAGATGCTGACTGTCAGCCACTACAGAAAGTCTCCCACTCTTTAGCTGACAATGAAGGACTTTTGACACCACCGTGTTCCCTTTCATATTAAAATACACCGGTGGAATTTTAATCTTTCATTTAACATAATTACCTTTTTGTGCTGGGAGTGGATTGCGATCCAGTCTTCATTGTGCAAATGCGCGTTAAAATTGCTAAATGATGCAGAGTCTTTGACTCTGAAATGACAGCCAAGCCAGAAGGTAAAGGAGGTGGATCTGAATAGAGAATTTTAATTGGTCACTGTGTGTGTGTGTGTTTTCGTTTTTAATTCAACTGTATGCCTTTTTGACTACCTGCAGAGGATGCTGCTGCCGCCGAGTCCGATGAGCTGGCCGTGGACCGCAGTTATGTGAAGAAGAAGTTGGAGCATGGACTGACACGAATCTGGCAGGTTTGTTGAAAAGTCTGCACCACCGTTTAAAAAACAAAGTTTTTCTGAAGCATTTCTCTTCCATTAAATTTATATTTCATTTTTTATTTTTTATTTTAATTTCTGATCCACTTGGAGCTGCCTTATCACAGGTTCTCCTCCCACAAATCACTGTGTCACTATTATTTCTCTCCACAGGATGTCCAGTTGAAAGTGAAGGCCTACATCCTGGGGACAGACATGTCGAACTTCAAATACGACGATTTCATAGTGGTACTGGATGTCATCAGCAGGTACGCCTCAGGTTTAGTGCAGACAGCTCATGCTTGTATCCAATAATTGGCCCTCATTATCTTGCTATTGCTGTCCCTTCCTCTTTGTGTGCCCCCCCCCACACACACACACACACACCTCTCATCCTTTTTTTTTAAGTTTTAGACTCACACTCATTCATTCTTATGCTTCCAATAATGGCAACTGTTTTTTGTTAACTATAAAGGTAATTTCTCCAAACCCGTTTCTCCAACTCCCCCTTTTTCCTAGTGTACTAAGAAGAATCATGGATATTTTTTTGGGCCTTTTTCAGTGGGGTACAGTGAAGAGTTACAGGGAAACAGAGCGTGAGAGGAGAAGACGTGTGGCAAAGGGCCGCGGGTCAGATTTAAACCCAGGTATACGGCATATGGGTGCCTGCTCTTCCCGGTGAGCTAAACCAGCGCTCAAGAATCAGAGATGTGGCTCTACAATGTGTTAATGGTGGTGTTTCCTAAATCTAGCAGTGGTATCGCAGTTACTCATCAAGCGATTGTGACGTTTTTTGCATTACGCAAGTTCTTTGTTTAGCTCCGCAGAAAAAATATATCATTGATTCATCAAGAACGATCCCCTCACATCATAGGAGAGAGACAGAAAATACGAAGCAGACTACAAAGATCATTATAAGTTAGGAAACATAAAACTAAAACTAGATCTGGAAAAACCTTTTTGTGAAACGTTTAAAAAGATTATATTAAATGGATGTGAATATAAAGGAAAGTAATGGAAAAAATAGTGGGTGTTCATATCAAATAGACAGGACATGTGTTTAGCTTTAGTCTTTTTCACTTTGGTCAAATTGGTTAACTCAGTCAGTCTGAGGAGGCTTTTTTGGATTTTCACCCCTCAGTCGTAAAAGGCTGGTGGGCTAAGATAAGATAAGATAAGATAAGATAAGATAAGATAACCTTTATTAGTCCCACACGTGGGAAATTTGTTTTGTCACAGCAGGAAGTGGACAGTGCAAAAGTTATGACGCAAAAGTTAGAATACAATAAGAATAAATACAGTACACAGCTGTACAGAATAGAATAAAATAATATACTATATACAGTAGAATAAAATAGAATAAAAATATACAATAAGATAAAAATAGAATACGAATGCTATATACAACTGAGTAAAAATACAACGATGCCAGAAAAGATTATTGCACTTAGTGTTATTGCACATGTGTGGATGTGTGTGTTTGTTCAGTTAAAGTCTTTGTTGTGGAGTCTGACAGCAGTGGGGAGGAAAGACCTGCGAAATCTCTCCGTCCCACACCGTGGGTGCCGCAGTCTCCCACTGAAGGAGCTGCTCAGTGCTGTCACAGTCTGCTGCATGGGGTGGGAGACGTTGACGTTGTCCAACAGGGATGACAGCTTATAGTCGTCACCCTGCTGGGCGGGCGAACAGCGTGGACACAAAATAACTAATAATGAAAACTACAGAATAACTCTGGGGTCTGCAGTGTTTTGCGGCTTCTTCAGACTTTTTTGAGTGAAAAGTAACAACAGTGACATGAAACCACACACATGGTGCCTACACGTTAACCCTGCCCTAAAACTACCCCAGCACCTCTAAACACAACATCCAAAGAAAAAGCAAAAAGTGAAAGATTCCACCAACCCAGAGCTCAAGTTACTGTGTGCCAGTTCTGCATCAGAAATGCTGTTTCTGCAAGTGTTTACTGTGAGCTGATGGGTTGTTTTAGCGTTCTTATCGCTGTAAAAGCTCTTTGCTATGGCTTTCAGAAACGTTGTTAAAAGAAATATCATGTGCACGTCTTCCTGATTAGGATATGTAGAGTTGCTGTCATTGCATATCAGACACTGTTATCAAGTAAGACTGAAGTACTGTTAAGAATACAGGGAGTGCAGAATTATTAGGCAAATGAGTATTTTGTCCACATCATCCTCTTCATGCATGTTGTCTTACTCCAAGCTGTATAGGCTCGAAAGCCTACTACCAATTAAGCATATTAGGTGATGTGCATCTCTGTAATGAGAAGGGGTGTGGTCTAATGACATCAACACCCTATATCAGGTGTGCATAATTATTAGGCAACATCCTTTCCTTTGGCAAAACGGGTCAAAAGAAGGACTTGACAGGCTCAGAAAAGTCAAAAATAGTGAGATATCTTGCAGAGGGATGCAGCAGTCTCAAAACTGCAAAGCTTCTGAAGCGTGATCATCGAACAATCAAGCGTTTCATTCAAAATAGTCAACAGGGTCACAAGAAGCGTGTGGAAAAACCAAGGCGCAAAATAACTGCCCATGAACTGAGAAAAGTCAAGCGTGCAGCTGCCAAGATGCCACTTGCCACCAGTTTGGCCATATTTCAGAGCTGCAACATCACTGGAGTGCCCAAAAGCACAAGGTGTGCAATACTCAGAGACATGGCCAAGGTAAGAAAGGCTGAAAGACGACCACCACTGAACAAGACACACAAGCTGAAACGTCAAGACTGGGCCAAGAAATATCCCAAGACTGATTTTTCTAAGGTTTTATGGACTGATGAAATGAGAGTGAGTATTGATGGGCCAGATGGATGGGCCCGTGGCTGGATTGGTAAAGGGCAGAGAGCTCCAGTCCGACTCAGACGGCAGCAAGGTGGAGGTGGAGTACTGGTTTGGGCTGGTATCATCAAAGATGAGCTTGTGGGGCCTTTTCGGGTTGAGGATGGAGTCAAGCTCAACTCCCAGTCCTACTGCCAGTTTCTGGAAGACACCTTCTTCAAGCAGTGGTACAGGAAGAAGTCTGCATCCTTCAAGAAAAACATGATTTTCATGCAGGACAATGCTCCATCACACGCGTCCAAGTACTCCACAGCGTGGCTGGCAAGAAAGGGTATAAAAGAAGAAAAACTAATGACATGGCCACCTTGTTCACCTGATCTGAACCCCATTGAGAACCTGTGGTCCATCATCAAATGTGAGATTTACAAGGAGGGAAAACAGTACACCTCTCTGAACAGTGTCTGGGAGGCTGTGGTTGCTGCTGCACGCAATGTTGATGGTGAACAGATCAAAACACTGACAGAATCCATGGATGGCGGGTTTTTGAGTGTCCTTGCAAAGAAAGGTGGCTATATTGGTCGCTGATTTGTTTTTGTTTTGTTTTTGAATGTCAGAAATGTATATTTGTGAATGTGGAGATGTTATATTGGTTTCACTGGTGAAAATAAATAATTGAAATGGGTATATATTTGTTTTTTGTTACATTGCCTAATAATTATGCACAGTAATAGTCACCTGCACACACAGATATCCCCCTAAAATAGCTAAAACTAAAAACTACTTCCAAAAACATTCAGCTTTGATATTAATGAGTTTTTTGGGTTCATTGAGAACATGGTTGTTGTTCAATAATACAATTATTCCTCAAAAATACAACTTGCCTAATAATTCTGCACTCCCTGTAGGTTTAGCAGATTTCTTCCTTCGAAAAAGGAATGACTGAACCTTGCCCTGTAAAGAGAATGTGAAATGCATGGCAGTGCTTTAGTGCTTTCTTTTTTCAGCCAGTAGCAGAACAATCACTCCTAATTACTCTGTCTCATTCTCTTCTTTTCAGTGGTGCAATGAAATGTGTCATTATAGCTTTACAATTAACCAGTTTTCCAGTAATGCTCAGCAGTTTGATGTATTTTAGTTATGTTGCATTATGAAACTTAAACTAGAACAGTAGTCTGTCTTAATTACTGGAATATGAATTTTATGTACTCATTATTGGATTTACATTATGCAAAAATACAACTTGCCTAATAATTCTGCACTCCCTGTAGATTAACACATTCTTTACTTAAGGGAATAACCGGGTATAGAAATGCATGTGAAACACTGCAGTGAAACGTGTGTGATGTTTTTGCTCCAGTATCATTTCTTCAGTATCTCCTCTATAAACACCTTTATTCTTGTAAAAACAACAAAATAAAATAAGGTTAAGAGTTTTTTTTTTTATCATAGAAATAACAGTACCAGTTACAATGAGTATATGCTTGCATACTTGAGATCAAATGTTTTGTAAAGTACAAATGGGGAATATTATTTGAACTGGGTGCTTTAACGGAAAATTCTGTGGTTCCACTTCTTTAGCCTCGCGCTCTCTCTTGACTCGCATGTTACAGAGTTACCAGAGCAGACATGTGTACAATGTGTCAGAGCCTCTGCTGGCTCAGCTGTCAGTCACACACACACACACACACACACACACACACACACACACACACACACACACAGCAGTAATCCTCCTGTGGCTTTGATACGCTAAAGGCTGTTTTTGATATTGGAAAACCCGAAGCCATGACTCCTGCAGTGAGAGATCCCAGCACCTTAGTGCTCTCTTATCATGTTAGACTTACCTTAGGTTTGTCAGCTGCCTCTAATGTAATGAGTGGCAATTGTTTTTTTTGTTTTTTTTTTAATTAAACAAATTAACCAACAACTGGCTTAATCATGATATTCCTGACCTGCAGTTGTGGCATCTCTCTGCACACCTAGCTATAAGTGAAGTTATTTCAAAGCTCTAACCTCAAAGGTTGGCTTCAGTGGTTCATTAGGCAGCTGGTTTGTCCTCTCATTATAGACTTCATCTGATAAGATACCTACTGTAAATGAGCCATCTCATCCCTGCAGCTATCGATAAAGCTGTTGTGTTCATTGCATCTCTCGAGCCAACACGGGCTGCAGAATGCCAGTTTGTCTTAGTGCAGTCTCTTCAAACAGGAGGTTTGTTTTAACACTTCCACTCTGTCTCTGTCTTTGTCTCTAGCTCTCCTTACTTTATCTTCCTTCCCTCCTGCCACACTTTTGGATTTGTGATCAGTTTTTCCCGCCAACCTTCTCTTTCAGGTTGATGCAGGTGGGTGAGGAGTTTTGTGGCAGTAAGTCTGAGGTCCTGCAGGAGTCTATCAAACGCCAGAGTGTCAACTACTTTAAAAACTACCACAGGTAAGAAACGTCTGGGGCTTCTGTTTGATCATCATCCGAACCATGTGAAAGTTATGGCAAATGTTGGTCAAGTCTTTCAAAGCTAAACATGATGGAAAGTAGATGAAACCATTTCTTAGAAAGCAGGATATCGTTATGTGAGAGAAACCTTTGCACACGGCGATAACCACTTGCTGCCTCCAACATGCTCTATCCCAGGCGTAACCCTCTTCGGAGCTAGATGTGTAATTACATGCCAACACTCACTGAGCTGGAAGCACATTTACATCCTGATTGCATAACCTCCTGCCAAATTCATAAATATGTATAGTTTCACGCAGAAGGCTCCACATCATCTGAGGTGATTTGCATTGATCAGTGTTAAGGTCACCTGTCAAGAATCGCTGATAACGCGCTTAAATATGATTCCTCTTATAAGCGTCAGTCCTGTGACACAAATCGGGTACAGCTTTGGGTTACAGGTGGTGACATGGAGGTGTGAACATGTAACGAAAAAGCAGAAAGAGGTCAAAGAAACCCAGAGACGAAGAAGACTCGACCAAACACACACACACACCTTTACACCGTGCCATTCAGAGTGCTTTATATTGACCCTATAGCAAAGTATGTCTATGTTTCTCCGTCTGGTTCCTGCGGTAACACACCCGGTCATCAGCGGGGGTGTACTGTCAGCCTCTGGATGCAAAGCACAGACTGACATTGTCAGAGTTCAGGCATAATAAATATTTTAGAACTCCAGCATTGTTGATATCCGCATGGGGTTTTCTTTGTTTTGTTTTGTTTTTTTCGTGCTGAGCGATTGAACTAGTCTCAAGGTTTTAATGTCCTCTGATTCACAGTGGATTGAATTAAAGAAACTCAGTTGTCGAGTGGACGAGTGTACAGTATTACAGTGAATATTCGACACTGTCTTTTGTGTTTTTTTACTTTCATACTTTAAACACCTTAAAGAAAAGAAACAAGCAGCACTGCTGTGTTTGAAATGAACACCGCACTGACATTTCACACCGAAGGAAGGATACTGACCTAGCGGGTGAGCACCTGGGGTGGCTGCTGTGAGCTGTGATCACAGTTAGCATTGAATCGTGTTGCAAACAGCACACACAGAACTTTTCCTTCACACTACGCATTAGTGACCTTTGCAGGCTTTATTGATGTCATTGTGTTTAAATTGGGAGCTGCTTGACTATACGGGGTTGAATTAGGTGATTAATGGACAGATGTTAATGCTTTCTGTGTCTTTCACTTTTTCTTCTTCTTGACCTTTTCCTCAGCACTGTGCTCATTCCCTTTTCTCTTTTCGCAACCCCTCAGGGCCCGACTAGAGGAGCTGAGGATGTTTCTGGAAAATGAGACGTGGGAACTGTGTCCAGTCAAGTCTAACTTTAACATAGCCCAGCTCCATGTGAGTAAGAGACACAGCACTGAGGCGAAAAGGTGAAGGGAGAGTGATTTCATTTATTCCACGGTGTCACTCACTGCTGTGAAATTTGCATGAGGATGTGAAACGCTGAATCTGCTCAGTGACGTGTGCGCGCGTGCAACCGGGTGCAAGTGCGTAAAGTTCACTGCTCATTATAAAACACAGATGAAGATCAAACGGCTGCTGTCCCTTATGGGATGTATGTTAGACAGTTTTTCTCACACTCATGAGCCACAGTTAAAAAATACAACCTTTCCTATGGACTGCACATCCATCTCTGAATCTCCTATTCCACCACATCCTATTGGATTAAAATCTGGAGGCCGTCTCTGTACAGTGAACTCAATGTCACATTCAGGAAACCAGTTTGAGATGATTTGAGATGGCAAGTTAACCTGCTGGAAGCAGCCATCAGACGATGGGTACGCTGTTCATAAAGGGATGGAAATGGTCAGCAGGAATACTCAGGTAACACTGTGGCATTTAACAATGCTGAAGAAATTCCAAGATTAAGTAGAAGAAAACATTTTGCGATCTGAGTGTACAGCTCGTTGCACTTCAAAGCAACACTGATGAATGGAAAGGAACGTAAAGAAAATGAGTGCAGTGAACTCGAGTATTTTTTCATCTTTATCTTTTTTCCTTCATCTCTGTTTTGCTTATACGCACAAAACGATAAATAAGCATACCAAAGAACCCTCCTAATAAATGGACTTGCATGGGAATTTTACATGCCTTTATGGCAATGTATTACTTGGCCTTCACTACAGTATGATTTAAGCGTGCGTAGTGGAATTCCTCACAGACGTCCTGTACAGATGGTGATTTAGCTTTTGTTGTGATGCAGCCTCTTAAAACCAAGTGGTCAAAGGTACTGTGTACAAGTGACGTGTTAATTGGAGTTCTTGGCTCTGTTTTCTTTTAAATTACCTCTAACTTTATTCATTTTAAAAGTCTCGTAGACTTTTCGTAGGATACTCTGATCAGTAACAATTCCCTGTGCGTCCCTGTGTCCCATCTTCTCCGATCCAGGAGTTTAAGTTTATGGGTCAGTGTCGCTCGCCTTCAGTTTCCCCGAGTAGGCAGGCCGCGTCTTTGAGCAGCTCGGCCCAGGAGGAGCTGTCCCTGTTCCAGCAGTACCAGCGAGAGGGAAACCCCTTTGAGATGCACATGGAGCACAAGGAAGAGGAGACGGAGGATGTGCTGGCATCCAATGGGGTAGGTGTTAGGAAACACACTCCATCTTGTAAAAAAAGTTAAGAATAAGTCGTGTCTGTTGAAAGTTGAAATCTGTTATAATACTGCAGTATTTTTAGGAATATGGTCATTTTGGAAAAAGTCACAAGTTAGAATTGAAACACAGAACTAGATTTGATTATAGAGCGTGCGTTTCCACCAGCTAGATAAACCCACTTACATAAGTATGCCTAATTAAGCCTGCCTATAGAGTCAAACTTCAGACGAGTTCATAAGGAGGTGAACCGATTTGAGAAATAATCAGCGTCCCTTAAGCTCTCATCACCAGGGTCATAACAAGCGTTTATTAGGGGTTTGAGGGCAGCCGTGCAAAACGTGCCATAGTCATTGCAGGGCTTTGACACACTGTCTGACAAGTAATGTTAGCCATTCAATAGAAAATAAACTTGTACTTGGCTAATGATTAACCCAAGAAAAGAGTTTCATGTAATGCAGCTGTTTTTTTTTTTTCTTTGAGTTTGTTATTGTCCAGGCCTCCGGTATAGGAATCCTTTTAATTTCTTAATACATTTTCGGGAACTGTGTTTTGTGTTAAATATAAATTAAAAGCACTTTGCTTTTAATTTAAGTAGTGTCCCTTTTAGGAAATAACAACTATTGCCTCATGCTACAGAGGCTACTCATCTGCTCCTCCTATGGAAAACAATATTTCTCTTTCAGATTTCAGAGGTCCCCCCACACCTTTGGCTTTACTTTATGATGACATATCAACATATCTGTATAAGCCTTTGGTGTTTGGCTGTTCATAAGCGTGTAATCCTTTATATATGATGCTTGTGTTCCCTTGGCATGTAGAAAATATTGCCTTATTTCAGTAAGGTATAATCTGAACTCTCTTGTGAGAGGTGAATACATTTTGTGCCCTCCCAGCAGTATGTGAGGTATTTGAAGTGTTTATTTGTTGCTTTGTGGGTAATTTAATCACAGAGCGTTAATGCAGTTTGTTTTTATTAGCCTTCCACCATTTTTATCTTGGGGGAGTGGGTTAATACTTTGTGCTGTTTCTCTGTGGACTCTTTGTTGCTGTGTCTTGCGACCAACAGCGCCGGCACCATTTCCCCGTGGAGTTGGACTTTTTTCACACCTGTCTTAACACTTGTCTTCTCTCTGTTTTACCCACTTTATCTGAACTCTATCCACCGCGTTTTTACCCCTGACTTCAATCTCATCTTTCTCTTCACCGTTTCTCAAGTACGAGTCAGACGAGCTGGAGAAAAGCGTGTACCAGGATTACGACAGCGACAGCGATGTCCCAGAGGAGCTCAAGCAGGACTACGTTGATGAGCAGACGGGTGATGCTCCTCTAAAGAGGTCAGTTCCATGTCCGGCTCCGAGTGTATGCCTCAAATTTACAGACAGTCCATGAATCTTCTGTTTAATTCCACTTTCAGCTTGTTTGATAACTGGATTTATGTTTGTGCTGTCCGAAAGAGTTGTTAGATTTCAGTTCTGTTCCAGTTGTTCTGAAGACCAAAATTTAGTTTCTTGCTTGTTTTTTTTTTTTTGTTGTTTTTTGTTGTTTTTTGTTTTTATATGAAAATTGAGAACATGAATTATAGTTTGTTTATCTTATCAGACACGTTGAAGACAGCTTTGGACAGCTGGTACATGGACCAGTTAACAAACAAAATAAATTTTCACTGCTAGCTGTGAAATATTCAAAAAGTGAGCACACCGATTATGTTAATTACACACACCAAACTATCTGTCTGTACTTGAGTCTTCATTTTGAAGGCATTAACCAAGTCTTCGCACCTCCAGCACCAACAATTTAAGCTAACCTCTGGCTAACCCTGCCAAGTCAGCAGTAAGCTTTTTGTATATCCATGAAAAAGTTACCTTTCCTTTCTACCTCGGCTAATGCAATGTATTGTAAAATTAGTGGCTATTTAATAATGGTGAAGGCAATTATACACTTCTCTGTTCAGTGTGTTAAAGCACTAATTTTCATTTGAAAGAGGGTTTAATTGCAGCTGGAGAAAGTTTTGTATTTTGCCTCCTTTATTATCAGGGATGCTTGAATTGGAAAGAACCTATCATTTATGCAAGCGCTAACTGTTTTAGCATTTCACAGCTTTAACAGTTTAGATGTTCCTCTCGAACTGTTTTAGCCGACCTCGTTTAGAACTGCAGCATTTTCCCTGCAGCATGATGGGGTCTTAAATTTTGCGTCACCGTTCAGCTGGGACGGTCTTTGTCGATAAGCCTGCTGTGCTCATTTTGTGTGTGTGTGATGAACTGAACTGCCAAGAACTTGCAGTAAATTAATGTTTTTAGGCAAATCTGAGAGCTGATCTAAAAAAAAAACGTTAGGATTTGCACTGGAGTCAAAACCTTGATTCATTGCAGTTTCTGTTTCCTGCCTTGTATGATGACATACAGTATTATTTTATGCTTTTTAGTTCCTCGCGTGTACTCAGCTGACATTAGTCCACGATCACTAAAATCCTTATTTCCTGTTCTTATAGGCAGGAATTACTAGTGCTTAATTATGTAATGGCTCATATAGTCGCAGAAATGAGACAGACCATGTAATGATTTCTGCCCATGTAATCATTGCTGGCTAATATGGCTTGGCGAGCTCCATGTCAGGGTCTGGTGCTTCAGGATCACCAGTTCTGAGACTTCACCACTGGGGTCCCATTTCCTGTGTTGTGAAATGGGTTCTGATTGATCAATTACAAGAACTGTGACCCACAGTGAAGGCTTTGCACCTGGCCCTATCATTTCAGAGGATTAATGATGTTGACACGTATTAGCAAGTCTCTTTTTCCTCATGGTTCTGACCTACTTTCTCTGACTCTGCCACCAGCGTACCCCGAGAAACCATGAGAACCAAGAAGAAGTCCGACTACAACCTCAATAAGACCAACGCACCAATTCTCACCAACACCACGCTCAACGTCATCCGGCTTGTTGGTGAGTCCTGGAAACACACACGCACGCACACACTCTCATTGATGACTAACCTCTGCTTGCGAGGTGTCCAGACAGTGTGTCCTCTCTGGCCTTCTGAGAGTTTCATTTATTCATCATTAAAGCCTGCAAAATACTGCAATTGGCACGCTCCACATCTGCATGACTGAACTGCACTAATAGTGGTTAACCTTTGCCCTGAGTTCCTGCCTTCTGTTTCCAAAGAACTGCTTACATGTATAAATATGTGACGTAGCTCTAAAGACATGAGAAAAGAGTCTGATGATGTACCCTCATAATGTGATTTTAGAGAGGAGGAGCTATCTTTGCTGTTTTGGCTTGACTGCGCATACAGTAAAAAAGCAAAAGAACCGTATTTTGTCACACGCTACATAATATTGATTTAGAGCCACGTGGAAAAACTTGCAGCAAGAAAAAAGACCCCCAAAGTTTGATTCCATACAATCACTTCTAATTCAATCTCTGCTGGACTTTGATGGAGTTAGATTGCTCCCTGAGTTCTTGGTGCAGAATTTAAGGGAAAGGGTGTGAAAAATGAGAGTGTGGGAGAAATAGTGCTGCCTGGGTAGCAAAGCCAGCTAGATTGAGTTTATTTCTTCTTTTTTTTTATTCTTCCATACATCAGTTCTGAGTCAATGGTAACCTTGTTACACCCCTGTACCTCTGTAGTTATTGCCTTTATTACCTTTCTGCTGAATTAAATCCTTGCAATTTGTATGCAAATGCAATATGCTCATGCTGTTGTCCTTCCCAAAGAGGATATGGTTCAACCACGATTAACTTACAGGAGTTTAACCCGTTTAATCTCCTTCAAAATTTACTCAAGTACAGCGCCATTTCATTCTGTGTAAAGTGATGCTGGGTTTCACGGTGCTAAAGAACAGTATGGATGCCCTCTGTGTCACACACAGCACTCGACACAAAGCTTCCATTGTACTCGGATCTAACTGTTACGTCTTTGTCTCCTCTCCCTAAAGGAAAGTACATGCAGATGATGAACATTTTGAAGCCAATTGCCTTTGACGTCATCCACTGCGTATCACAGCTTTTCGACTACTACCTTTACGCTGTGTACACTTTCTTTGGACGCAACGACATGGTACAGTATTCCTTCATCATCGTGGTGTTTTGTCTATCACATCGAGTGTTTATACTGAAGACTAATGAAAAAATGAACATTTGCTAGCCAATAAAAGACCCTTGAAGCAAAACCTTGTGAGTCAGCCATTTTCGATGTGGCATTTTTGCATTTATTGGCTCTGGAAAGTATTTGTACAGCAAATTTCCCGCTGGTTTAAAAAATAAAATCAGTTTAAAAAAGTTACAGACATCGATTTGATCCTCAGAAAACAACCCTAAATAAATATTTTCAACTTCTAAGAAGCACAAACACAGTGGGGGCAGTGTCTGATGTTTTTCTTATGACCGTGCACAGGAATTTGTTTATTGATGAAATCATGAACTTTGCAGTGAAAAAGCCAAAAGATGATGCAGTGAACAGAAGTGGATATCTCACCAAGTTAGTCTCCTGAAGCATACCGTCCGCCCCGTTCAACTAAATTTTGCCCAGGAAGAAAGATTATGACCTTCCCAGAGCCCTGATCTGAATCACTATCTACAGGATGCCATAAAGGAAAAAAAAAGCCTGATGGTCTAGTGTGGAGGAACTAAAAGTTTTGCAAACCTTTGTGAAAGCTATTACAAAATTGAATTGACCCCCTCCATGCCCAGATGTTGTCAAGCAGTTCTGCAAGCTGAAGGATGTCAAACTAAACTCTAATACACAATAAATCTTTAGTGGATTGTTTTGGCATGGTTTTAAACTCCGTGTCTGTAGTTTTATCATTCAATACTCTAAAGAACACCTTCTGTGGAATAAAAGATGAGCATGTGTTGTTGCCCCATCTTTCCTAAAATAAAGGTTTAAAACCAGAGGGTAATACCTGCTTGCTTGGTTAGCAAGTTAGATCTCTAAACTACACAACATGCATGCTAGTTAGTGCTTAGTACTAAATCAATGAAATGCTATAATTTTACCCACTAAAATGAAAGGATAGACTTTATGGACAGGCTGGTTAATCAGGAAGCCAGAATATTTGTCAGATAAAACCTCACAAACGTACTAAGCAGTAAATATGTTTTTAATGCTGTTAATTTTGGTTTTTGGGTTAAAATTTCAGTTCAATTCAATTCAGCTGTATTTATATAGCACAACAACAGTCAGTTCATACTGTAAACTAAAGACCCTACAATTATAAAGCAGCAATAAGATACTTTCATTTAGGTCAGATTGTGCCTGCGCTGTTTATGTACAGCAGATGAGTGATTAAAACTCAAACACTGACTGTCTCTCACTCTCTTTCCCCCCACATATTCTCCTGTTAACAGTTTTGTACTCTCGATATTTAAGACAATTAGGGCAATCGTCACTTTTTTGAAAACTTTGGAGTCGCAGCCAAGCGTCAGACTCTGTCACTTCTCTGTTTTTGTGAGAAAACTGGGAAAAAGAATCAGCACCTCCAAAGTCTGAAACCATGATCATTAACTGGAAAAAACCCCCAATACCTATCCCTGGTCAGGCAGGAATTTCTGTCGCAAGCGATGAAGTTCATTCACAAGTGATGGAGAGAGCGGAGCAGGAGAAAAAGACAAAAAGATTGACTGATGTATTATCTGCAGTGATACAGAAGCAGTATCAGTCTGTTGTACAGAAAACAGAGCTGGGTGTGAAAGCGAAGCTGCCATGGGGAAGATGTCCTGTGGGCAAACTCAGGATATGCTGGCAGGGTTATATATCTGGGCTGGCTTGATGCTAGAAAAGACAGCTGGGGGTATCTGCTTACACTGCTGCTCCCGTGACCCAGACTCGGATAAGTGGCAGAAAATTGATGGAAGTCTGTGTTGCTTAACTCTCTTTTGGAGACAGACTCAAGAGGCCACTCCAGGAACTGCATTTATTTTTGGCGCTTCCACGGTTGCCTCATTGACTGCTGTTTTCTGATTGTTCCGGATGCATCTGAATGTCTTTCCCAATAATGGCAAATTTAAAAAAAAAAAAAAAAGCTCCATAAAAGATGAAACAGGGAAAAGCTGGGGGAAAAAAGTATAATCTTGTGAGTTAAGTAAACCTCATAAGTAATCAAGAATTTTTGTTTTTGCTCATTGTAATGCCGACTGCGTCTGCGGTCGCAGTGTAGATGTTCTGTTGTTGTGAAATTACCTTCATACTCATTTCCAAAGCTCCAGAATATAACTTCTTGACACAAATTGCTTAATATTACTTCTGCTGCATCAGTAGTAAGGTGCTTTATGGAGATTGCCTGCATTTATTATTTCTTTTTTTTAAATGTTTATTAGATGATATACAGTGAGATGTGAAATAACCACCGCTTCCATCTTTTCTCATTACTGTCTGTCTCACAGTAAAAATTCAAGCTGAACGATAGGATGCAGTCTGCGAGCCCGGTCCCTCCACTCAATCTAAAGGCTATTATGTCATTTATACTGTGCCTCACAAAGAAAGAAGAAAACAGCATTTGTGTCAGTATCACCCTCAGGGATGCAATAATGATGGCAACAAAATGACTTCTATCCCGTTGAGGTGGAAGAGATAACGGGGATGAAAGCTCCACGGGGGCCCCTCCAACTCGGATTATTGGCGTGCGTGCGTGTGTGTGTCAAGGAGAAATGAGGAAAGGTTGAGAGTTGATAAGTTGTCAGTGGGTCACTGTCACCGATGCAGAATATGTCAGCCTCTCAGTATCATTGCCTACCTTGTCTTTAAGCGTATATCATTTTTTTGTTGCTTAAGCCGGCTCCTTCAGCCATTTCTTTCTACCGTCTACATTCCCAAAAGCTTAATCTAATTTTTCTTCTTCATGCTTGTTACTCTCACCATCTTCCCGTGTCATTTTCACTCTCTGTTTGCATCACTCTGTAACTTTTACCACCACTATTTATCCACCGCATCCACTCTAGACCTCAAAGTGTCACTTCATGAACCCAGCCGTTTTCATTAATGGTCTCACTTGAAGAGCCACCGACAGCTAAATGCTAATGTCCCCATGAATCTTTAAAAAGCTCCTGGAAATTGCTAGTCACATACGCTGGCGTTTTGACCTATAGGCTCTGCTCTCCTTACACAGCTGGAATCAAGATGGGCCTGCTTGACTCCCCCACTTGAAGAGTAATGTGTGGCATTAATATTCAAAAGGGTAAATACACTCATTATCTGCGTGTGTTTGCCTTGTTAAGGCAAGCCGCGCTTTTGACGGTGTCACACATGCTAAAGATGTATTATGCGCCCTGCTCGCAGATTCTCCGTCGTCAATAGTAGCCGGGTTTTCTGCTCCAGGGGCTGTGACAGGCAGATTTGCTAACACAGTTTTGAGAAAAGTGATTAATGTTTGAAAATTGTAGAAAGCTGAACCTCAAGGGGGGGGGGGAAATCTTCGGTTTTAGCTCTGGGAAGACGCCGTGGAGGGCTATAGTACGAAAAGGGCAAAAAGAGGTGTGAATTGAAAGATGGAAGGCAAATGGAGACAATAGAATATTTTCATTTTGAGTAACGATGGCAGAAATGGTCGGGGGTAAAGGCTGCCTACTGAAATGAAAAAGGGGTTCACTCTCAACTCCTAGCTGCCACTCGTACTGGATGTTATTTATCTTGTGCAGCAGTACAGACTCTCACCTGTGGCCTACAATAAAACCAAACGACGCCCGACTGCACCAGAATCTTCAAAACTGAAGCCAAAAAAAAAACCTACATCCCAAAAACTGTCACTTCTACTTCCTCCTACCTAAACAATGGTCACTGAACAGCCTCTGCCAAACAGCATGTATCTCAAACCCACGCTGACATCGACAACTACTAGATGTGTGTTTTTCCTCCTGATGCCCTTCCATGTGTTTAAAAGTTTCTAAAAGCAATATGAACAACCTGAGAGCTTTTTAAAGTCTGTCACTGACTATCAAGGTCAGGGATGCCACACACATACAACCGGCTTTGATTTCAGTTGGGCCAAAAGCAGTGAAACTGCCCTTTCTGTCAATGTAAAGATTTTTAACTAGACATTTCATCCCATTTAATATGTGAAAAAGAAGTTCAGTTTCAACAAAACGTCTCATTGAGTTTTTATACAAGGCGGTCTGTGAACATTTGGTCTGTTGGTATTTGTAGCTTAAACAAAAAGCAAGAAGGACACACACAGCAGTGACACTTAATTCTAAGATGTTACTAAACTGAGAGAGATTAAAGGGGCATCGGGTTTTCACAATGCCACCTCTCTGCATGTTCAGCTGCTACACACTACAAACTGATGAGTCCCGGTTTACTAAGCTCCTGCTGGTCATAAATGGAAAACTTAAAAAGTTTGTGAACAGAAAAATTAAACTTACTACTTCATTTAATCGAATTATGTTTGTTTGCTTTCATATTTCTGTTTTTTTTTTTTCTAGTTGTGTTTTCTTCTTCCAGAGTCTTTAATTTGAAGCTTTTGCTTTTTGTTTTTCCTTTCTTGCTATCCGTTCGTCATCCGTAAGCCCGTCCCAAGCCCATCTTTGCAAGCTCACGGCAGCAGAGAGGCGGGCACCGCCAGGGTTGTGGGCCCTGCCTGCTTGGTAAGAGGCACAACCTGAAGTGTTCCGACTACTTCACGGTTGTGCTGCTTAGAGAATCCAGCATGCGTGGTGTGGTTGTTTTCCAGCCCTTAAGATGTGCGCGATTTGCTTTCACAGGCGACATCGAGCACATCTCAGAGTGATTTCAGAAGCATTTGCATTGAGGTTTCTTCGCTTTCACCCTCTCCGCTTCGTTTTTCTCTGAGCTCTGTCTGTCACCTTCTGTTGTCAGCGTGATTGTCTGATTGTTGATGTTGGTTCTTCCCAGCTGCTCCTCCCTCTTTAGGATTAGAGTTGGCTAGAAGCAGAAAGCGAAGTCTCTTTTGTCTCTGACTACGTGAGATGAGAGCAGATGTCCCGGTGTGAGCGTGATTTTTACACTCTGTTGAAGTGTGTGTTCTTATAGAGGGAAGATTTTTGTGCACATTTCAAACACTCATTCTGTGTGTGTGTCTGTGTCTATTCTACAGTATGAGTCATCAGGTCTGGGCCTTATCAGCAGCAGACTGAGAACCACACTGAACCGGATCCAGGAGAGCCTCATTGATATGGTAAGACTGCGTCTCGCTCTTCCTCTTTCACCTTCTCTTCTGTTCACTCTTTTACCAGCGTGCATTATCTCATTGTCTGTCTCATTTTCTGACACAAACACACCATCTCACGCCTCTGTCCTCCCATCCTTATGCACCTCTTTCCTCTTAATGTCGCTCCTCTCACTTTTTGGCCATCCATTCTGTCCGTACTGACCATGCTGTACGTGTGGTCTCATTGTTTAGAGAGCCCACAGCCGGTGTCACAACATGCATTATGGGTCATCATTATCTGGCCGGTGGTCACTCAGACTCGTGTACACCTCCCTCTGTTTAAATGGGCAGGCCAGGGTGGATATGTGTGTTATTCCATTAGGGCTCTCTAGCGCTGCTCCTCACTGTGATATTACATAGTGACAATTAGTGTGGTGCTGTCCACCTTTTGCCTGATAATGTGTCTTTCTGCAGTCTGTCTCTCCTGTTACATGATCATACAACTGTCATCTCTTGCTTCTGCCTTTTATTTGCATGCCTTTCGTGGCCTATTTTGCATTATCATAGCAAGAAACCCTACAATCCCGTGTGAGCGTGCATTTGGTGGTGGTGGAGAGAAGAAACTCCCTTTGCAGTGGACCAAATCTCCAGCAGGATGAGGCTTAGGGAAAGGCAACCATCTGCCTCAACTCATTAGCATTAGAGGAAAACTAAGAGGCAAAGACCGAAGAGAAACAACAAACTAAATAACTATAAACTCCCTTCAGGCTGGTAGGGACAGTAACCACAGATAAGGATCATGTTGCTCCTGAGGCACAGATACTGATGGAAAACACACAGAGAGCAAGGACGGAGAAGGAAAAAGCCCAAACTGCAGGAGAGAGAAAGACTGAACGCTAATGAAGTGCAATAGTCACATATGAATGTATGCAGAGCAAAGTAGAGGAGATGTGTTCAGTACTTCATGATATTTTGTCTAGCAGCCTAAACAGCAAAGCTAAAGGAAGGTTCTAGGTCACTTGAGCAAACCTTTACTATAGGCCTCATCGTAAAGTTATACACCCAAGGTGTCTGCCAGCTAAACCCAAAGTGGGAACTTCTTCCACGGGAGTGGAGCCTGATCACTGACAGCTCTGCCTCCCACTGTGCTTTTGGAGTTACTCAAGTAACAACGAGTAAGCGTCATGTCAGGTGTGATGTAGCTACAGGCAGCTACTTGTTAGTAGGTGTTAGTAAGTGTGTATTTAGGTAAAGAAATACAGATTTCTTACCTTACCTGGTAATCTGTGTTTGTGAATAAGCTGAGGATACAACTTTCTGTTCTTTACCCTGCTTGGTTTCCGTTTGCAGTCTGCTTCTAGTACAAGTGCTATAAATCATTTGCTTTGGAGAAAGCTTTCGTTGCATGCTGGTAAATGGGGAAAGCAACGGCTGTCGTGTCAGGATTTTGTTTTGAAAAATAACTTTAAATCTTTCCACCTTTGTGAACTGTGGTTGTTGCACCGAAACAGGAAGGTTTGGACTGAATATACATCGAAAGCCCAAGAATATTGGCACTTTTCTCTTTTTCACTTTCCTCTTCTTTTTTTCTCTTCCCTCAACAGTTAGCAGCACATTATTGCTTTGTTTTACAAAACCCCATAATGGCAATTTTCTTGCTACTTGCTTGTAGTCTCTATAGCTTCACAGTTTGGAGGTGGTCTGACGAGAAGAAGAAAACAAAAAGCAATAAACAGAGTTATGAATCATGAAGGCGGAGGAAAGAATAAAGATCTAAACTTTAAATTGTTGTATGCTGCTGCATGTTTTCTCCCTTCAGGGGGCCCAATAGTGACTATTTACACCTGAGTACTTTTCTGAGTAAACTGTGAGCTTTTTTCCAATATCAGACAGGCCTGCGGGTGATGTGTTCACTTTTTCAGCTGATCAAATGGACGCAGATAAACAGACAAACTGAAAGCAGAGAGATAAAGAGAACAAAAAGAACTGAGTCGAATTGCACTGAGGCATTTCTGTTTCTGTGAGCCCACGAGTCCTCTCAGAAGACAGAAGCGTGCTAACCCGAAAGCACACGGATGCGCATTCATATTTCAAATAAGCAAAATCATATCACTTTGCCCCCTGATTAAGAGCCATTTCCAACCACCTTGGAGGAGCGATGCAGTCTGGCTTTGTAACTTCCCATCCTTTCTCCAGTGTAGTGGCAAATGCTTTCAGCCCATCTTGTCTCATGCAAAGCTATTTTAGCTCATCTTAATAAATCATCTAATGTTGGGAAAATGCCCTATATTCCAAACTAACACAGCACTCCCTATTTTGTCTCTTTTTTTCGTCCTTGTTTTGCTCTCCTTTTACTCTTCTGTGTTTTACATCATGACCTACTCACATAAATCTCGCAGAAGCTTGTTCTCTTAGATGAGGCGGACTATAAATCCTTTATCTTGTTTTTTAAAGATTGGTAACCTAACCGCACAGTGAACATGCTGATGTATTTCTACAGAGTACAGAAACTATTCTACCTGCATACAGATACATAAACTGACACACTCCAGAGATCGTGACAGGGAAGACCTCATTTGTAAACACATTATAAAGTTAATTGCACACTGCATGTCAATTGAGCTGCTGAATCCTTGCGGTTTTGTTCACCTGATTTGCCATCGCAACTGTCTGATTCCAAAACCAATGTGCTCGTAATGACACAGAGTCCCATATGAGCACCAGCGAGATTCCATCTCATCTGGTCTCAGGTACAGCGTGCCTTCGGTTTAAATTAGGACTCCACTGGGAAAGTAAAAGATCACCTCTTAGTTTATGTTCCATTTCTCTACCTCTCATATTCTTGATTACCTCTCTGAAACCCTGTCGGGTAGCTTGGCTCTGACACTTTTTGTTTCAAGTCCACTCACTGTGGACTTTCACTATTTTGTTTAAAGTGTTTGAAAGGTTGGGCGGCTAGGGAGCATGAGTGGGAGGGATGTGTTGCTGTATTACACAAAACAGTTGTTACATAATGTTTAATCACACGCACGGTCTATTTCATTGACATGGAATTGGATGCTGTGTAGAATTATCATCTGTTTAAAATTCTCACTTGCAAAAATTCACCTCCTTTGGTGATACTGCTTGGGGCAGGTTAGACGACTTTGCCATATCAGAATAATGTCATGAACTCCATCAGTAGCCATATTATCGCTGCCAGAAGGTTCAGCTGTGACAGCTGTTGACAGCCGTTGCTGCAGGCAACGTTGTGAGGAGAGCTGACGAAGGCTTGCCTTTTGCAACGAAATGATGGGAAAGCCACCTCCGGGTTGACTAACCTTTTACTTATCTCCCTACGCAAACCAACAGTACTTCATCTTTCAATCAGTCCGCTGGTTTATCACACTTATTTGTGCAACTGTTTCGCCGTCACGTCTTTCAATTTTTATCATTCCATCTCATCTGTTTGTCCTGTCACCTCCTTCTCTTTAGCAGCTGTGCACCAGAGATTACATGCCTCTCAGCTCTCAGCACAAACAACTGCTTGTTGTCCTGCAGTTTATTGGTGCTTCTGAGTGAGTATACACTGCTCACATCGATCCAGGGATGAAGAAAAGATCATACAGCTCGAAAATTATTTCCCTTTTTTCCCCGTTCGATTTCTATCAGAATCAGAATCAGAATACTTTATTGATCCCTGGGGGAAATTATTTTTTGTTACAGTGCTCCATTTTAAACCAACATTAAGACAAGACAGACAATACACTAACTAAGAATAGTACAATATATACATATATATACATACATACATACATACATACATACATACATAAGTCACTCATAAATAAATAGTTGGAAAAGAAACATGTGTAGTTGTAGCAGCAAACAGTGTGTTAAGTGGATGCGTTGTACAGGGAGATGGCCACAGGCAGGAATGATTTCCTGTGTCGTTCAGTGGTGCTTTTCGGTAATCTCAGTCTCTCACTGAACGAGCTCCTGTGACTGACCAGCATGTCATGGAGTGGGTGGGAGGTGTTATCCAACATTGTCTTTATCTTGGACAGCATCCGCCTCTCCGACACCACCTTGAGGGAGTCCAGCTCCATTCCCACAACATTGCTGGCCTTACGGATCAGTTTATTAAGTCTGTTGGCATCTGCGACCCTCAGCCTGCTCCCCCAGCATGCAACAGCATAGAGGATCGCACTGGCCACAACAGACTCATAGAAAATCCTCAGCATTTTCTGGCAGATGTTGAAGGACCTCAGTCGCCTCAAAAAATAGAGACGACTACCATCTACACTCAGTCGTGATACATTGATTAGATATGTCTTTGCGCGCCCATAAGCTTGATCATGGGGTTTTCGTCTTTCGAGTACAGTGGGACGATGGCTTTTTTGGGCTTGGCACTGAAACTACAATGAGAAGTCGGGTCATTTCTGTGTTGGCACCACGAATCTGACATTAGCTTGCTTGTAGAAATGTACCTAAAAAAGCTGCACTGACTAGCACCTGCTTGTTATTTTCAGCCAATATTAGCCAATATTTTCAGATCTCTCCATATCAAACATATATAGCAGCTGATAAATTTAACTTTAAAAAAATAAAAGGAGAGTGAAAAAGACCCTTTAACAAAATTATAAGTGTTGGTGTTGCATAATTTGTCCACCAGAGAGCACTCTGGAGCCTCCCTGTTAGCATGTGGACTACGTCAAACACAACAGTCAGCTGATCCGTACAGAATAAATAACAACAGATAAAACATGTTTGGGAGATCTGTTTATACTTCCTGTGTCTGGAAGAACTAAAAGTATCGGCCTATGTATCGGAATATCGATGTTTTGGGTCACCAAATATCGGTATCAGTATCAGTCTTAAGACACAAAACGAGAAAACATTCAGAACTTCAACAAGCAAATGATCATGTCTACAGATTTATAGTACTACTGTCACAAAGGTGTTTATACAGCACTGAATGCTTTCCACTCACTTCTCAGACTTCATATGTGTCTCCCAGCATCACAGTGATAACCCCTAAGCTCGTG